TTACACGTATGATCTGATTTTCATCATGAAGTATTCGAAATTAGACCTTTTCGTCATATGAACTTCACTTTTCATTATATGATAGGGATTTCAAAAATTTTCCCAAAAGTTTTTGTCAAAAGTTTTTATACCAATTTAGTATATTAGGCCATGCTATTACTTAGCCAAGTTTGTTGAGAAATTTTGCTGGCTGCAATTTTTTCAGAATAGCGCGTTACATGGGGAGTGGCCGAACAAATGGATCGATCCAAATTTCATTCTCAATAGCGTTCTTCCTTGGGTCAAAACACGTCCATGCATCAAATTCTCATTAAAATATCCCAAAAATTTCGACCTATAGCTTGAAGATACAAGGTACGTAATAAACAGTCTAGCTCGACTACAATGTTTTCAGCTTGGTATTATAAATAATTTAGTTCAAAGACATAAACTCCGGGACTAAAACTACGATCAAGGTTAACAACTAAGGCAACTCGTTCTTTGTTTTTGTTTTTTTAAAGATACACAAGATGGTTAGTGCAGTCGCTTTAATAAAGTTACATATTTTATTGATACGTTAAGTTTCCCAGATACTGTCAAGATGTCCGAACCAAGAATTGGGCCACAAAACATATTATTTTCGATACTTTCATTTGGCAAATTTGAAATTTTTTATCTGATTACGAGATGATTATCTGAAACGAGAGCTGCCTAGAACACTATAGGTTTCAAAAGAGATTTGAATATTCATACTTTCTTAGCCTCACTTAATGGGGATTTTGCGCTATTCATTGTACCAACCATAGGTCTTATAACGTTAACTTTTCAACTTACATCACTAATTAAGGGTTCGGTTTGTGCGGATGTATGCAAGGCGCAAAAAGACTTGAGATAGACCTACTGTTTGTTATACCGATCAATTCTGGTAGTGATTCTAGACTTATCTGTCCGCCTGTTCATCTGTCCGTCGTGTTTTCTTGTGTCGTCCTTGGCCTAAGGACAAACGCTATTGAAAACGATTCGAATCGAACCAGTTTCTCCACCATTTCCATAGAGTGCTGTACTTTGAAAAATCGTTATATGAAAAACTGTAAGATGATGGAGGCGACGGAGGAGGGTAGTGGACCACCTGTGTAGTGTTTTTACTTGTTTTTATATAAGCTATTGATAGAATTATTGCGAAATTTTAAACGAAATTTACAAGAATTAATTGAAAAAATTTCTTCTTCACCCTCATCATTCGTCACATACAACATAACCATAAAGTTAAATTCACATATACACAGATTAATGCGATTTAATTAGCATTAAAGGCGTCAAATTTGTCGAACACATATCGGACCCATAAAATTTGTGCAATTCTAGGGTACGTTACTATCGACATTCACTTATTTAATCGCAACAATCCCCTTTTTATATCCAGCACCGATGGACGGAGACATATTTACTTGGGCCGAATTCTTGCAATACCGAGAAGGACGCATCGAAGAAATCTACAATTTATAAAAAAAAAAAAAAAAAAAAAAAAAAAAAAAAACTTATTTTAAACAAATCGTTCGTTAACGAAAATGCCTTAATAAATATCCAACGTAATTTGTTATATGTTTTTTAAGTTTGAAGCAATAATACAAAATTCACACCTGTAATTGCTTCTCATATATCCTCACGTACACCGTCAGAAGCATATTTACCATGTCATTAATTTATAAATGTTCTACTCGTCAATATTTTTAACATATTAACGGAGCATGTAAGCATGACACAAGTATCAATTAAATGGCTCTTGGCATCAACTTAAACACTTATAATCGTAGATCTACATTCATGCAAACATATCCATCCATACGTTATTACATCCAAACACATATATGCATATGCATATGCACGTACAACGAGAGCAGCTGGTATTGGAATGCGTTTAACTAGAAGAGAGAAGACCGCAAAATGAGAAAAAAAAAAAAAAAAGAAAAAGAAAAAGAATAAATGAATGTAAACGAACAAATTGCTTTAAAGCATTATACATTATTGTTGTTTTTGTTGTACAGCGAACATCGCAACGTGCAGCAGACTAGGATAGAACACCTAATTGCAAACATGTGCATACACTCATGCACATAAGCATATATATATATATATATATATGTATTACTGGGGGAAGTGAAAATGTGTTATCGCTTTGTGCTGTGCGCTGGCTATTCTTGATGGCTGGATTATCAAGTGTTAACGCAATAATTATTTCAATTTGTTGGTTAATAATTGTAATTGAAAGAATTTTTGCATGCACGCCCAGATTTATGTGCATATAAGTATTCCAGATGTTAATGAGTGCGAATCACTTACATACGTATATATGTACATACATACCTGCCTGTGTGTACGTACACCTGTCCGTCTATCTGTCTGTCTATCATATTTATAATAAATACAATAATTTTTAAAACTAATATAATTTATATATAGCATAAATTACTAGTGCTATGCATATATAATTAAGGCATTTACTCGTATGATTTTCTGTCGGTCAGTGAAAATATGTGCATACATATATGCATGCGTTCGCTAAAAAGCAACGAAAGTTTTTCTTTACACCGTCTGGTTAAAGATTTTCTTAGGAAATTGAAACCCTGAATTTCAATGATGTACTGCTTTGTTGTTTTAACGACTGCTGTTGTTGTTAATGTTAATAAAGATTGGAAGATGATAGCTGCTGGAAACTGTACTGTAACCCACATAACATGGTAAAAGCCATAAACTCATGCTTGTCTATTAAAGTTGTTCTTGTTTTTACTACTACCACTAGTGCTGTTGATACTTACGCTGCTGCTGTTGCTGTTTCTGCTGCCTCAGCTTCTGCTTATGTTGATGTTGATATTGCTGTAGCTGCACATTGCACCACGAAATGAAATGAAGAAAATGTTGAAAATGCTCCATAAGAGTGATGGCAGTCAGACATAGAAAGAGGGAATTAAATACCTATATATACATATATACACTATATGTAAAGACAAACATAACTTTCACTTTTAGTTGTTTCACAGATTTAGTTGAATTAGTTTTCTTTTTCTACCTCAGTACCATATATTTGAATTGTTAGTTTAGCTACATTGTGTAGATTTCTTATATATTTAAATCCTTACTTAGAAGCACGAATTGCTGCTCCATTCATCTTCATGGTAAAATAGTTGCATATTTCATGCTATAGTTCAAGGAATTGATCGAAGCGAAAAATAGTATACGTGCTATACTATACAGTATTCAGCAAATATATAAAAACGCTGATATGTACAATGAATTTTGCTTTGAAATATCCATAGTAGACTCTTCCAAAAAGTAAACATTTGAAAAAAAATATGCACAAAGATGTGATTCAGTTTGCTCAATCCGCGTTAAACCAGTTACGAAGTTCACCTGAGCTTTACAGGCTCATAAATGGACACTCTTCTTACAAAAACCTACATGAAAATGATTGAACCCTTATCGAATGACACAAGTCAGGTACGGCAGTTTTCCGTGGTCGTATCTATAGTGAGTTCTCAGCCGCTAAACTCGGATAGTACTTATCCATTAAGAACACACTCAGTAGACTGGGACCATCACTTCCCTAATTCTGTTTCTCTCCTCTCCTCCTTCTGACAGTCATCGTGTTACACGAATAAAGGACATCACATGAGTGCGTGGTCATATTAAAAAAGAAAATATCACCCTTAGAACTCATTGCTAGTGGCTACACCTCATTGTCTAACACAATTCTTATTTTTGTTATAGAACACAAAATTTTATCTTGTTTATATATATAGGCATATTTTTCATAAGCGTAGTTCCGGGGGAGCGGGTCCAAAACGCAACCTAACGTAATAGAAGTTTAATGCTTAAATGTGGCAGGATCCAAAATAGGCATAGATGGTCCAAATTTTGCAGAGTTCATTTTTGTATGAAGTTACTATAACATTATGGGTCAATTTCCATCATCACTTGTTAAAACTTAGATTTTTTTGGTCTCTACAAATGATCAATTTTCATGAAAATTTTTATTATGATAAGATCCAAAAAATAGGCCGAGACGGTCCAAATTTGGCACAGTTAATTTTTTGTGATATATTACTATTATGATATAATTTTGATCATGAAGCACTGAAAATATACTTTTTCTTCGTACGAACTACAGTGTTCTCTATATGAGACGGGGTTTAAAAATTGCCCCAGCTAGAAGTCCGAAGCATTCATACCAATTTAGAATGCCGAAACACTACTACTTAGCCACCTTTATTGAGAAATTTCAAAAATTACAATTTTTTTCCATATAAGGAGTTTTCAGATTTGGACGTTATATGGGGAGTGATCGAAAAAGTGGACTGATCTGAACCATTTTCAATAGCGTTCGTCCTTGGGCGAAAACACGTCACTGCACCAAATTTATTCAAAATATCTCAAAAAGTGCGACCTGCAGCTTGAACACAAGTTTACATAAAGGGATATCAGATGAACAGATAGGCTTAGATCGATTTAAAAAACGGGCGGACGAATTTTATAAAAAAGACGATCTACTTTGACTCTTGCAAGAAAGCTCGCGTTTACATTATTAGATGCAGTCTTTTTTTTTTAGGCATTACGTTAGCAACAGCTGATTGCATCATAAAATTTTGCTAGAGCGAACTTTAAAACGGTAGCATAGCCCGGACGCGTAATAGTATTAGATAGTCTTAAATGTTTTAAACTTATAAGTGGGGATAGAATTACTTGGTATCAAATTCCAAATGTAATTCAAATTTATTGCCCCTAACTCTCTTAAACTCCTCCTGAATGTTGTTCTTTTTTTGGGCCTGCCAGGCAATGTCAAAAAATACAATATTAGATAGGTGTGTTGGAAGTGAAATCTCTCTCTTAAAATTTCTTTGAAAAACCTTTGTAAAAGAAAACCTTTGAAAGGGAATTACAAGTTAAGTTTACTGCCTATAACCTTAAGTGGACTGCTTTTACGCAGTTGCCTTATTATTTTACTTATTATATATTCTTATTTTTAGTAACCGATTCACCCATTAAAATTATTAAATTACCTGCGCAAGCTTCAATAGTACGCTTTAGTCGCAGTGAGCAAGAATTTCCATACGTTAGCAATGGAACAAATATGGAATTATTAGAAACAACTACCACATGGTTGGACGATGTCACAGACGAATTAGAAATTGATTTACAAAATGATGCAACCGCTTCACTGTTTAATGAGGAATTGAATTTTATGTTGCCACCAAGGCAAAACCGTGCCAGCATTTCGAATTGTCCCAGATCTTGTCCGCCTAGTTTAACGGTTGGCGCAGAGCCGGTGTGCGGGTCAGACGGTTTCATTTACGCAAATCTATGTGATATGAAAAAGAAAACTTGTTCGCGTAGCGGAGCCATTAAGGTGATAACATAATGATATGTTCAGATAGTTTTTAACTTTGAACTGAATATATTTTGAAATTTTATTTAGGATATTAAAAACGGTTGTGAAAGAGCTCGTGGATCGGATTGTAAACATCGCTGCTCCACCGAAAAAGATCCGGTTTGTGGTACGGATGGTCGTACTTATTTAAATCGGTAAGTGAAAAGTTTTGAATAAAGTCTTTGCTTAATTTTCTATACTACCTTCGTAGATGTATGCTGCGAGTACAGGCTTGTCGCATTGGCTTAGCAGCCGTGAAAATGTCACATGTAGGCCCTTGCAGTAATACCAGTGCAATCCGTGAATCTTGTCCGGTGGATTGTAACAGCGCTCCTAAGGATGGTCCTGTTTGTGCGTCCGATGGTAATGTGTATAATTCCACCTGTGAAATGAAACTGCATACGTGTGGACAAGGAGTAGTTAAAACTAGTCGTAAACATTGTCAATCCACTCGGATGTGTCGTGAATCATGTTGGCGTGTCGCCAGACCCACATGCGGATCCGATGGTCGCCTCTATGCTAGTCCCTGTAAGATGCGATCTTCAAATTGCGGCAAGCACGTATTCGAAGTACCCCTTTCATTCTGTATGGCTCAGGAACGTCATGGTAGCCAGGTTGAAGGTTGCCCCACCGAATGTTTAAAGAACGACGGAGAGGTTTACGTATGCGGAAGTGATGGTAACATTTATTCGTCGCTATGTGAGTTAAAAATGCTTAATTGCGGGTAAATAAAGAATAATTGAAAATAGAACTTGAAATAATTAAATTAATTAATCAAACAATTATTTCTCTGACAGACCGCAACGTAAGTCCATACAAAAGATGAGCATGGATAAATGTAAGACTCGTCTGACTAGATGTAAACAATTGCCTTCGTGCAAAGATTTTAATAATTTATTTGGATCTATATTCTCCTCGAAGAGAAATGATAAATTGTGCGGCACGGATGCAAAAACGTATAACAACGAATGCGAACTAGCTCATGCTACTTGTTTGTGAGTATATATCCTGCAATTTCTTAATATTATAGCATGACAGCGGTCGAACCGTAATTAATACGCCATTTTTCACAAATAGGAGAGGTGTTAACTTGGCCCATGTGGGATCTTGTACCGATCTGAAAACATCCCTTAAAGATTGCGGAGAACGTTGCACTCGTTTGGATATTGAAAGTGGACCCATTTGCGGCTCTGATGGCAATACGTATGGATCAATGTGTGAATTTAAACGTCGAACGTGCAATTTTCGTGTGGTGCCAGTTTCTTTAAAAAATTGTCTCTTAACAGAATTTTGCGAAACAGACTGCGATGCACAACCGCCGAATTTTGTATGCGGCTCTGACAATAAATTCTATAAGTCCGAGTGTCATATGCGCAAAGAAAATTGTGGCAAACATGTCTTTGTTGTTCCGCTGAAACGATGTCTAAGTAACGTACAATACAAGGGTTGTGCGCGGATATGTCCACCAGACTATGAGCCGATATGCGGCAGTGACAATATGACATATTCGAACGAATGCTTATTGGAAATAGAAAACTGTCGCACAAATAGTACTATAACTATACAATATTATGGAGCCTGCGGTCGGCCTGATGCACCGTCAACAAATTTTTTGTATTAGTGAAAGATTACGGGGGAATTGAAAATTCATTCCCTTTATATTTATAATAATAAAATATTTATTTCTTAGATATTAAGTGTTATACAGTAAGCAAAGACAGACATCTTCTCACCATCAAGTTATACATACATTTACGCATATATAAATTTATTTATATGGATTTGTGTGTAGTTTCTTTTAAACAATAATAAAAAAATATATAAATAAGTTATGTCAGAAATTGAGGGGGCTTCTAAGCTCAAGCTGAATCATCAAATAATTTACTAAGCATAGCTTTGATTTCATGCGGCTTATACTTGACATACTAAACTGCACGGCAGCACACCTTTAAAGAAAGCAAACACAAGAGATGAAGCACGTTCTTTAGAATGTATTTTTTTTTTTAAATTTGTCTAAAGCTCAGATCAGCGTACCGTATATTGTAATTTATTCAAAACCTT